GATGAGGCATCTTAAATGGTTTGTCAGTACAAAATGCCTTGCTAAAAATTCAAATCTCATAGCCCTGAAATAGGATGCTGGGTATACGGTGTAATCTTCAAATAATTGCTTCCAGTCTTCTTTCTTAAAATATCATCCATAGCAAAGGTGCGAGTAACTTGATTTTTTAAACTTTCCCAGCAAATTAGATAAACCCACAGGGCTGTTTATATGAGGAATGTGAGAGCAGTTGCCAAGCTTATCTGTGAATCATGGCTTCTCTGGTGGCAAGAGAAAACTGAACATACCCTTGTCTTAAAAAGATACCCTCCACACACTGAAGAGGATCCGAAACGAAGCACTTCAGAGTCAGGCGTGCGTTAAGTTTCATATCTTGCTACTTGGAAGAGATTTTCTGGACTGATTAGAATCCCCAGGTGGAAGGAGCACAAGAATTAATGGATGTAGATATCTGCCGTACCCACAATTTGGATGAGCTAATTCTACTCAAATAGAGCCATAGGATGTGTGTGGCAGTGGCTTTACAAGAAAATAAATACAGAAACCAGGGTTTTTTCCCCTGCTGAAGTGCTGCACTGAGATTAAACTGACCATGATTTTACTACTAATCTTTATTTATAGTACTTGGGGTTACTGACTAGAAAATAACAAAAAAGTCACAGATTTAGAGATGTGCTAAGGCAACAGACCAAAGAAAGAATTCTAAAGATTTAGTAAAAGGCTACTAAAAGAAAGTCTAATGCAGGTTGTAGGAGTGGGAAGAGTGTTTCTTACTGTGTTCCTCACTTAGAAACGCTGTGTGGAAAACATCCTGCGTTGATGCTAAGAAAACGTAGCTGTTGGACAGGTTGAATGAAGTGGACAGAGAGAAAAAACAAGCCCTGGTCAGCTGATAGTCCTGCGCTTCATGACAGGCTTCCCAGGGATTCTGTGGATTGCTGGGTGTGACTCCTTCAGAGGCACTGGGTAATTGCTGTCACAGGTTCTGCCCTTCCGGCATTCCTTCCCTTTTCACTGATTTTAGGTGCCATGAGGAATTCTCTTTGACTAGTTAAAAAAGTTTATTTCCACCATTTGATGGTTGGGATTTTGAGATGTAATTTGAGAATGATTGAGTGAATGAAAGAGTGAAGTGGTATCTTAGTATGACTGCAAAGTCACGTCTGATTTAGGTTTAGAAAACATATTTTCCGTCTGACGCCACCTTTCTGCTTGGAATGGATCAGAGCAGTCTTAGTACAGGAGTTTTGAAGGGAGTGTGAACGCACTTCATAGAAGCTGACAACTGATGTGAACTTTTGTCTGGGTCTTATTTTGATAAGTATGTATGACATAACAGGGGAAAGCCCTCATTATTAGTCACCGTCACTGTGTCCAGAATGACAGTGTTCCACACAGAAGATAAGGTGCCTCTGACTCTGGGATCCAGAGGCCAGCCATTGGGCAGCGTCTAAAGCCCCATTTCCCTCCAGTCCCTGCTCAGCTATCTGCCCCACTGGAGTACTCACCGAGCTGGTCCCTGTTTCCTGTTCTCCTCTTATGACTCCTGTGGTGAGTCAGGCTGTGGCTCAGCCTTATCCTTTTATTGTTATAGTAACAAAAGCTGAACAACTGCTAACAATGATGTAGTAAGCCCTGGTGAGAATTGGTGAGAGCAGTAATAACCTGTGACCCGTCTAGGATTGTAATTAAACTCCCAATCAAAACCTACCAAAGGGAATCCAGCCTGTGGGCTAGAGAGATTACCAGGGTTCCTGGCAATTCTCTTCCCTTTTAT